GTAAAGCAAAATGTTGTAATAAATTGTTTTTAATTCTAATTATTTCAAAATACATACTAACCAGTTAATTTTAATGTTGGTTAATGACATTCTTGTCAACACTGTTTTGAATGAGATAATTGAGATAAGCTAAGAGATAGAGACACATTAAAATTTCAGTATGCTATAAATGTGTTTGGGTATAATTAACAAACACTTTTTGCCTTAATCGTAATTACCAACACTGGCCCGGCACGCAAACACATACAGTTTGATCTACATATAGAGCAGTCGGTAATAAATAATTTGAGTCCGATAAGCATTTTCACCAAAAATATTAATTCAATTCAAATACTTTTTAAACTAGGAAACCAGTTAGCCAACACTTAAAATAAAGCATGTTCACCAACACTGTTTTGCATGAGATGTATAAGAAAGATACGCAAAAGTATAGACATGTATAACAAAATTTCATGCTGTTGTAATTTATCAAGAAAAAGTTACTCTACACTTAAGTCATATTTCAAGCACTTTAACGACACGATGTAGGATCTAAGACGAAGAGCTATCGTAAATGAATAGCTCGGCATGCGAACAAAACGGGTTAAATCATTTCAAATGCGAAGCTAGTTAGACAACACTTAATGCATGTGCCATTTACCAACACTGCCCAATGAGCGTGTCCAGCTCAAGGTACGACCACTGCCTCGGACAGTAATGAGCACCTTGGCGCGCCAAAATGACAACCTGCGCACAAATTGGATTACTTCATTCTCAATGCGGTCAGATAAGAGCAAACCAGCAGCAACAGCAGGAGCCGTAGCAGCAGCAGCAGCAGCAGCAGAAACTGTGTCGGCTAAGATCAAGCGGGGCAGAAACGAGGCGCAAGAAAAAGAGGGAAAAACAAAAGCGATATAAATAAATAAATACAATTTTGCGGCCAGGCATTTGGCCGATTGATTTCTGCAGCACGAAAAATGGCCAACTGGCCAAAGGAGAGGGAGTAGCAGGAGCAGTAGGAGGAGCAGGAGTATGCCTCTCTTGGCCAACTTGAGCTGGTTCGCTTGCAGGCTCGCAAATTGCCGCATATTTGTTGAGTAATTACGCTTTAACTTGTAATAAAGAAGACAAACAATAAAACGAGGATCCCAGGATGAAGTTTCTCGAGCGGCACAGCGCAACACTCGATGCTGTCTGGTTGGCTGCCCGACTTGCTGGCTGACTGGCTGGCTGGCTGGCTGACTGGCTAGCCGGCTGAAAGAGGCCTTCGAACATCTGTGCGGCGCACTCTCAATTGAAAAGCGTGAATAACAAACGTGAACGGGCCGCAAACGCGCAAATTGGCTAAGAAGTCAGTCAAGCGACGTCTTCGTTCAGCGAGATTTCAGTTTATGCGCAGACAGAGATTGCGTTCCCTCTAAATCATGATAGTTGCCCATTTGACCCAATGCTGGCTAGCGAAACAAAAAATTTGGGTTTTTTCTGGCTTGAAATCTTAAATATGGCAAGTTTTCTAGCTATAAAATCGAATCTACCTAGTTTTCTAGCTAAAGAGGCAAATATACCTACATACTTCTTTCTAGTAAAAAAGGACAATTCCACTTGTTTTCTAGCTGAAAAACATGCAAATCAAAATCTGGCATTAAAGATAAATATAGTAGGTTTTTTTTTAGCAAATATACAGAATCTGGCTAGTTCTCTAGCTGCAAACTTGTAAACATGGCTAGTTTTCTAGCTTTGAAGACAACTATGGCTAGATTTATTGAACACAAAATATAATCTGCGAATACGAACATGGCTAGTTTTCTAGCTACGAAGGCAAATACGGCTATATTTGTTGACAGCAAAATACAATCTCTGAAAAGCACAAAAAATAAAACAGAACCTGGCTAGTTATCTAGCTGGAAAATTGTAAACATAGCTAGTTGCTAGCTACCATAGAAATCAGGATAGTTTGCTAGCAAAAAGGACGCATTATTTTATATAGTTCAGTTTGAAATATTGTTTATTTGCATATTTTAGAAGATAAAATGTAACAGAAAAATAAACTTTCTATATACAGTTTTCTGGCAAGGTATAATAATATATAGAGCATGATATAATGGTATTATTACAATTACCTAATCATCTAACGAAAAAGAGACTTGAATCCCATCCAAACTGTGTCAGATGTTATTACATATTGTTCCAAAGTTCTATAGTTTCATAGTTTTATAGTTATATAGTTCCATAGCTCCATAGCTGCATAATTCCATAGTTGCAGGGCTTCATAGTTCCACAATTCCATAATTCCATAGAGTGGTAACTCAATTAGTTTCATAGTCGCTCTAAAGTAACTCTGTTGCATAGCTCCAAAGCTCCACAGCTCCATAGTACTCAGCAATTCCTCAAAAAACATACTAAAAAACTATGAATTTTCTATATATAGTTATTTTCAATTATAAAACTTATCTGTATCAAAAAGCAGAGCTAAAGTGACGTATTATATTATAATATATAATATATCGATAGAAATGATATAAATTATTTTCACATAAAGCTGCACGCATGAGCTAACATTGAAATTGTTGACTCTCTCTCTCTCTCTCTTTCTCTATCTGCAATAGCTAGATATTGTACTCTCTCTCTCTCTCTCTCTCTGTCCTCTCTCTCTCTCTCTCTCTCTCTCTCTCTCTCTCTCTCTCTCTCTCTCTATTGGTAAGTTAAGCAGAAAACAAATCTTTGCACTAAGCAGCCGCAGTCAAAGAGCCAAAAGAGCCAAACGTAGCAATGCTTAATTTACTGTTGGTGACTGTGGGAGAGGTGAGCGGAGGAGCGGAAGATGCAGCCGAGATGCGAAGATGCGAAGTTGGAGACTGAGACGGAGTGAGTGAGCTGCGGCTGCGACTGCGACTGCGAGAGGCTAGCTGGTTGGACTGGCAAAGCCATAAAATGCATTATTATGCTAAATGACTATAAAAATCACGTTTACAATCCATTTATGCCTGGGATAATAACCCATCTCTTTTGAACTGAGGCGCAAGGAAGAAGCTGCCCCATGGACCGCGTCGGCCTGGGCCGGGATCTGGACCTGGCACCGGAACGCAGTTGCAGTTGGACGTTGGCTCCAGTTCGAGAATTGAGAGTTAAGAGTTAAGAGTCGAGTCGAGTCGAGATGTTGGCTAAAAACCCTGAAAGGCAGCATTTGTTTACGCCGCGAATAATTGAGTTATCTGATCCCCTGCTAGCCACAAGACAGACACGAATGAGCTGCAACAGCTACAAACGAGACCTAGGCTAGGCACAGACTGGCAGGAGTAGGGGGGTCAGATAGAGTGAGAGGGGCAGGGGCAGGGGCAGGTGGTGGGCTGTTCGTTCGTGTTGCATGTTTGGCAGCAGGTAGGTGTGGCCGGCCTACGTAGCAAATTGCTGGGGCGCATTAGAAGGCAATGCCGCCCAGGAACCCCGCCCATCCCCCTGCACCCGGCCGATTTCTCCCTCCCTCTCGCTCACTGCCTCTCTGTCTCTATTAGCTGCCCTTAGCTGTGGCCTGGCACTTGGTAATGACTTTATTTGGTTGCTGCGTTAATGGGGCCGCAGTCGTTGCCTCTGCCGCTGCCGCTGCCGCTGTCGACGCAGGCAGCGCAAATTGAAAGCGCATTTCAAAATTTTTCACACCTGAAAATTGTTTCGTTTCAAGAAGGTTGACGGACGCTCTCGAAGCCAGCGGGACGGCGGTACAAGTGCAGCGAATTTCAACAAGCAGAGAGTGGGAGAGAAAGAAAGAGAGAGAGAGAGACAAAAACACTTTTCACGTAGCGCCGACTGACCAAAAAGGTGCCGACCGGCGGCGGCTGCAATTAATCAAAATTTAATTTCAAATCGCAACGTCGACGTCGACGTTGACGTCGCTGAAGCAGCCGAAAAAATTGAAAAGGCTAAAAAGAAAACTGGCTAAAAAGAAAATGTAATTAATCACAAGGCGGTTGCAGTTGCATTTACCTTAACAGCTTGCCGATGTTGTTGTTGTTGTGTCTCTTGTTGTTGTTGTTTTTGTTGTTGTTGTGCGTCTTCGTCTCTCGCTGTTGGAATCGAGCGATGGAAAAGCCACAAGAAAAGCAACAAAAGCCGCGGCATGCAAAGGCGCCCCCCATCTCTCAGGCATACCCCTACCCCTGCCGCTACCCCCACTCCAGCCACCACTTGTCTTTTATCTGGCTAACCATAGAAGACCGTTACAGTTTATTGTAAATCTTTTGATAATATTGAAGCTCAGTGCACAAAGGCAATTAATTACATGCTAATGCTGGAATATCGATCTTTCATTTGTTTAAAATTAAAGTTGTTTAGCTCTGCATAAGGCTAAGCTGATTGACCGAAGGTGTGATCCAATGATGATTATAACAATATTATGCTAATTCCATTGATGATTTTCTCCGCTGCATCGACCAACTCTATTTGTAATTTTACGTTCTTATTTATAATGATTTAATGATCGTTAAATTTTATAAAGTATACCCATACATATATATATATATACATATATATATCATAATTTAACTAGTTCAATCAATTCAAGTCTATTTTGCCTTTTAATCTCAGTTTGAAAAAAAATAACAAGAATTTAACAGCTTTTCTGCAGGAAGAAAGTTAAACTGACTAATAGATGGCGCTACTTGCCATAGCATGTTGTCAAATAGATGGCGCCAAACAAATTGAGCTAGCAATAGGTGGAATACGTTAACAACTTTGGTGAATATAGGCAAAAAGTAAAATAGCCACCCATTAATACTTGAACCAATTCATTGGAACACTGATGTTAACTATGTTGGCAAAAATCTTGGCATTATGTTAAGTCGTCCTCTAAACAAGAAAGTCATGTTATGTAACAGTCTGTAAACAGTCGAAGCGTTGATTTTAGTAGTCCTCAAATGTTTCAAACCTAAAAGCATATGTATTGATCTTATAGAAAATTTTACTCTCTCTAAATTATTTCTAGCAATGCGTCTATCCCATTCATTCAGTAAAAACAGAAGCGTAGCAACAATTTCGTTTAATTTTTATTATTAAAAATTTGTTATATTGCCTTTCCATTGCTCATGTTTCTTGCTTTCATTTCGCTGGTCTTTTTTGGTGTTTTTTTTTTCTTCTTTTTTATTTTTTTTGTATTTTTTAAATGATGTCCTGCTTATTACATTTTAATAAACAATTAACACTATGCGACAGGCTTTAATTTTTAACAGAAAACAGAAAGAAAAAACGTTCGATTCGTATTCTCAAATGAAATTTCTAATTGAAAGCTTTTGCTATTTGTTATTTGTGGTGAGAAACTTTGTTGCACAGTGTAATTGCAAGTGTTTATTGTATTCGCTGCATTGTTGTAAGTTCGAAGAAAGAGCATAAACCAAAAAACAACAGCTTTAAATCGGATTGTTTTTGCATGTTTAAAATAAATATATACAAGGTGTAGTTCAATAAAATTAAAAACAAATAATATACAGTAGAAAAATATAAAAAGGAGATGTACAGTAAGTAAATATATATATGATTGAATACTTATAGAACTGAGCTTTAAACATAAATAACGAATAAGTACAAAAAGGAAAACAAATCTGGTTAACAATCAATTAAATAAATGTACATATTGCATTTGGAGCCCGCAATTGCTCAACTAATTCATAATAATAAATATATATACTAATGATACAGATACATTAATCATTACATTATCAATTACAATCAACATTATTCAGATGTTTACATTGATCTATATAATATATGACATACTTTCATATTTCTCGTTACATTTCGTTTCGTTTACTTTTCCTTCTGCTTTTCTTTTTTTTTTTTTTTTTTTTTTTTTGGGTCTTGCTGCACTCTGGGCACGATGCTGAGAGCGACACAAGCTTAGCAAATTAATTAATTAAGGCTATGAAAAACAGGGATACAAAACAATAAATTAAAAATCATAAATATACATATTAACATTGGTTCCGTTTGAGCAATTGTCGAGTATTTCATTTCATCCAAGTGTCAGACCTTAAATTCATCTCGCTTAACATTTTAACTTCAACTTGCTTCTAAGGCTTTAAATACAACAATGTCGCAACCCTTGTGGGTCATATCTCAAGTTCCTAAACGATATTATTGCATTGAGCTTCAGCACTTGAGCAAATTTACAGTTTGAATTTTTTTGAATCGGTAAGAAAGCATAGCTCTGAATAAACATCTTATGCCAAACTTATAAAAACAAATACATAGATATTTATATATATATGTATATATAGATGTACGGGTGGCAAAAGCTAAGAATCACAGCTAAAAGGCAAGCATTTAAGTTTTATACAATAATCTAGAAATCGAGAATTCAACGCGCTCGCCAAATTCATCGTGCTCAAAGTTTGCAGCTGGCTGTGTAAATTATTATTATTATTATTTGTTATCTATTATCGATTCTAGTTATGCATAAGTATATACATTGTTTGTGTGTTGCTGTTGTTGCTATTGATGTTGTTGTTGTTGTTGTTGTCGTTATTGTTGGTGTTTTGTTGTTCTTGTTTTACTTGACTACGCATAATCATTAATAATAATAATTAATATATGTTTTTGTTTTATGTTTTGTTTCGCTTTTGCTTTGTCATTAATTAGTTAATATTTATAGTATAGCACCGAGTACAAAAATGATCAATAAACAGAGTTTTGAATTTCTTCTTCTTCTTCTTCTTCCTTGCATCCTTTTATCAACAATTGTTTATGTTGCCGTTGCTCTTATGTGTTTCGTGTTTTTAAATGCCTTCGCTCTTGCCTTGATTTTATCATTTACTTGTTTTGTTTGTTAAATTCTACTACTTATATAATGTAATAATTTCTGTTGCTTTCGCATTCGTTCAATTTCTTTGCCGGCATTCGCCTTGATTAATTTTACATAGAGCCATCGCCAGATATCTACAAAGACAGACAGTTTATTGACGGAATTATGAATATATATATCTATGCCTACTCACCTGCGAGTGCGAACTGTCGCTCTCCACCTGCTCGGAGTAGCAATGCTTATAGTTAAGATAGTCTAGAAGTCTTCTTGGTAATGGCAATGTCTGTATTAGATCCTTTCGTATAACCGCCTTTAGTATAACAAATCTGTGCAAAGGACAACGAATCGCATTCAATGTGGGTTCAGAAATGCATTATTCAGAAATTCTCCGAACTGCTCCACTCACCTGCACATATGCTGCAAGCTTTGTACATGCTTAAACCTAGATACTGGATTGGTTAATTGCACACGCATTGGTCCATGCTCCGGCCGACGATGCAGAAAGAACAAATATCTACAAGAAAATGCGGATTTATAGTTTGATATATTCTGGTTTGTGTTTCGGGTTGATTAAACGTACCTGCCACTGCGCGAATGCTCGACTGCCTTCTCAATGAACTCGGTTATAGTTTGTGATTTGAACTTGGCGTACGAGCCAAACGAGAATGTGCCTGCAATGGAAACAGAGACAGACAATGAAAGAGAGAGAGACAGAGGGTGAGGGTGAGAGTGAGAGCGAGAGCGAGAGAGTCACTCATGATGAACTCAAACTTACCCTGATCCTGTTCGATGCGCACATGGCGCACGCAGTTGTTTAGCTTGAAGCTCAACGAGAATATATAATGATCATCGGAGCTGTCGCGCACTATGAACGAGCCGTCCGGCTCGTTGGAAAGCACCTTCTCGGCGGCCTCGCTGGACAGTGGACCCCAGTACCAGCCATACTGCAAAGGCGAACGATAAGTTAAATGAATCTAATTAAATAACGAGAATATAGAGTAAAGCTAGACGCAAATAATACAAAGTGCTCCAGTCTAGTCGAGCTTGACTTAGGACTTATATCCCTAACGCTTACGGTCTACAAGGCAAAGTAGAGAAATGAGTCAAATTATCCATCTAAATTATAGCTCTAGGCCATTTTATACCGATTATCAATTCTCTCTAGGGTCTAGCTCTTATATATTCTGCGATCGACGTGTTCATGCATTCTGACGGACGGACAGACGGAAAGAGCTATATCGATTCAGCTCCTCTCGCGAGAAAGGAGCAACAATTGGCGAGGAGGAGAAAAATAAAAGAAAGTTAACATTTGACAAGAGAATTAAAGAGCAGTAAAGCGAAACATATCAACGATATCGATTGAAATGGATCACATACGTCTTTGACTTTCTCAATGCTTGAGGTAAACTGCAGTGCACGCGGCTCTTGCGCTCCGGCGCTCTTCTTCTGCTCCTCCGGCTCCGCTTCGGCGGCATCAATGGCATAAGCTGTAAAGAGTGCATCAGAGGATTAAAGTGACTCCAATCACTCCATAGAAGATGCCAGCTCACCTTTTCGTGGCAGCGGCGGCAAAGCGCGCGATTGAAACTTTTTGCGCAGATCGGCGCTGGGCTCGCTGCGGCTGAGACACTGATTATTAGCCTCCTCCGCATCGGCGGCATCTGTCGTGGCCGCTGTGGCACTGACAGCGGCAGCTGTGGCAGTGGCGGCACCCGCTGAGGCGGCTGCTGCTGCCGCCACCGACGCATTGGAGCTCCGACAACGACTGTGATTGCTGCGTCGAAAGCGAAAGATGCTGCAGAACTTTTGCTTCAGATTCAGCGAGAACTGCGACTTCTTCTCCGACTGCAGCAGATGCTTGTTGTTGTTCGGCTGCTGCTGCTCGGCCAGCAGCTTCTCTGAGGAGTTGGGCAGCTGCGTGGTGCTGCCAGCGGCTGCTGCTGCTGCCGCCGACGGTAGCTGCTGCTGCTGTGCATAATTGTTGCTGCTGCTGTTGTTGTTGTTGTTGTTGTTGTTCAGCTTATCATTGTCGATGTTGTGCTTGCTCTGCTTGCTCAGATACTTGGCGGTGGTGTCGCTGCTCGCAGCACCGCCGCCGCTCGCCCGCGTGGTGCCCGCACTGCTGCGCGTGCGCGCCGTCGTCGTCGTTGTGTTCGTCGTGTTGGTGGTGTTCGTCGACATGCTCCAGATGGTCTCGTTGCTCGACTTGACGCCCAGCGCTTTGCTGCCGACGCCAGCTGCGGCAGTGCCGAGCATTTTATTGCCAGCTGCACCACTCGCACCACACCACGAGGATTTGCCCGCGTCGGAGTACAGCGTATGATAGAACTGCTTCACTTCGTCGAGCGTCATGTGCAGCGGCTCCGCCTCGCCACTCTGCACCACCGGCGTGCGATATTTGCCATGCTTGCCCGACTTGTCGCCACCATCGTCGCTCGTCTCCACCACCGTAGTCGACCCCGCTGCCGCCGCCGCTGCTGCTGCTGCTGCAGCTGCCGCCGCGTAGCGCTGCTTGCGCTTGTTCCGCTTGTTGCGCCTGCTCGAGGCCTTGTGGTACGCCACGCTCTGCTGTGGTTTTTCCAGCGGCTGCTGCTGCTTCTCCAGTTGCTGCTGCTCGAGCTGCTGCTTCTCCAGCTGCTGCTCGATCATGTCGACGGGAAAGGCATAGATGTCCGAGTCGATGGGCACGTTGTAGAAGTCGGAGATCTCGCGCGTGAACAGCGCATCGTGCGACATCGCCTGCGTTATGAAGATCGAGTCGTCCGGCTTGTTCGCCGACGACACGTTCAGCGAGTTGTGCGAGCTGCTAAGCCGGCTGTTCAGCGAGTTGCGAGAGTTCGGCCGCTGGCCGTGGTGCTGCTGGTGATGGTGGTGGCCGTGATGGTGGTGGTGGTGGTGCGAGTGGTAGTGACAGTGGCTTGTGTGGCCCAGCGGGCTGTACAGCAGCTGCCGCCGCTGCAGACTGCTGCTGCCGTTGTCCCCCGGCGGCTGCAGCGCCGCCGACTGCCTGCCGCGCGCCCCGTAGTACAGATCGTAGTCGTGTATTTCGGAGAGGCCGGCGCTGTTGAAGCGCTGCTGGGCCACAGCCGCAGCTGCTGCCGCCGCCGCCTTCGCGCTGGCAATGCTGTCCTGCTCTGTTGGAATGGCCTTGAAGTAGCGCGTGTGATCCTGGTAGTAGGGGCACAGCGTCTGCTTGATTTTGATTATCGAGACGGGCGGCGGTGGCGATGGCAGCGAGGGCGAGCAGCTGCTCTGCTCCGAGGCAGCCTCGACATCGTCGTCGTCCGCATCAGCATCATCCTCATCATTGTCGTTCTCATCGTCCTCGTCGTCGTCGAGCAGATCGATGCTGTTGCCCAGCGAGCTGCTAATAATATTATTTGGTTCGTCGTATATGTTGTCCGTGTGGCTGTTCAGTATGGAGTCGCTGGAGTAGAGGTGCTTGTTGATGGCATACGACTCCTTGAGCGTGCGCTCCTGGCACAGCGCAGCGCACTGCTGGCTCGAGTGGCTGGCCGCAACAGCAGCGGCAGCAGCCGCCGCCGCCGCCGCAGTTGCGGCAGCAGAGGTCGCATCGCTGCCGGATAGCTTGCAGCTGCTGCTGCTGCTGGTGCCGCTGACATCCAGCGCCGGTTTGGCCAGCAGCAGGACCAGCTCCTGGTTGGCACCTGTGGCCCCGCTGGCCACCGCAGCGCTGACCATGGTGACGTCGTCCTTGAGATGCTCGAACGACGACTGAGACGAGGTCCAGCGGCGCAGGCTGTTCACAATGTTCTTCGAGATGGAGCGCACGAGCGTCGTTTGCGGCGAGTCCTGGAACTCGGGCGGCGGATCGATCGGCGCCAGCGGCCCCTTCTTAAGCGTATTGAAGTTCTCCGCGCTCATGCCGCCCTCCGAGCAGTTGTCCAGCGAATCGAACTGCGACACCTCGCCGTCGCTCTCCACCATCTGCAAGCGAAACGAAACGGTTAATTGAAGCTGGCTGAAGCTGGGCCCGCAGGCAACTCATGGCGCACTCACCTCGATCTCGAACTTGCACATGCCAATGCGATACGAGTCGCCGCTGGATATGGAGCTGTTGGTGGTCAATGGGACGCCGCTGTCATCGCTCAGCGAGGCGGCCGCATTCAGCTCGATGCTGTTCGCGCTGACCAGCTCGTGGTCGCGCGTCGTTGCGGGCGGTGGCATCATGCTGCTAAAGCTGTCGCTGCTGCAAATGCTAACGGTCACGCCACCACCGTTGCCGGTGGAGTTGGTGGTGCAGTTGCTGTTCCCATTGCACAGTTGGCTCTGATTGAGGCTCTGATTTGGATTACCGTTCGAGTTGTTGCACTCCTTAAGCTTAATGGACGATTCCATGTTCAGTGTGTGTGTGCTGTGTGCGGGTGAGTGTGTGTGTGTCTGTGTGTGTGTGTGTGCTGCAAGGTAGAGGTAGAGTAAATTAGTTAATTAATTGACTGATTGATTGATTGCTTTGAGCCGAGCCAAAAGAGAAGACAAACGTTTCGTATGATTCGCTCTTCGTGTGACTCAAATGCAAATTGCAATTAAATCTGATCAAGAGTTGATGCTCTCCGCTTTTCTTCAGTCTGCTTCTGATATTTATAATAGGAAAAGTAATTGAATTCAAATCGTATGACTATATTTTCTGTTCTCTAGTCAGTCTGATGAACACTTCAGTCTTCGTTTGCTTAGCTCAATGCAAAAACTACTCAAGCAGCCTTTCACATTCAGCACACACACATTTGCCGGCTCTCGATTGAGCGCTGTCAATCATCAGATTGATTAATTGATGAATTGATTGGCTTCGTCTACAAATCAAAGCTGGAGCAATTTTCTGTTTCACTCCGGGTTCATTCGTTCATTCATTATGATAAGGCCGCCTCGGCTAGCGGCTCGCACTACATGCCTTTTCAATGTATTGCCAATTAACGCTTGATGAATTGATAAATTGATTAATTGATGACACACATCGCACAGCGCGCCGCACACATCACATGACCTTTGGGTGCGGCGTCGTTGCTGCCGCTGCTGCTGCTGCACAACAACGAATGCTGCACCGAATTGAAGGTCAATGACAGTTGCGTGCGCCCAGCCACCCACCCAACCGGCCGCACCTCCCCCTCTGCCAAAGCATTTCGCACAGCATTCGCTTGTGCGCAGAAATTGTTGTCAATTTAGTAGTAGATTTTGGGCGTAGATATTCGCTACGTTTTTTCTCCATTTCTGGTAGTTTAAAAATGCACACACACACACACATATATATACTAACACAATGCTAAAGCCTTTGAATGCGTAAAATATTGCGTTGTGTGTAGTACACACATACACAAGCGCATACATATATGCATATATATATATATGTATATCAATATATGTATATACACACGAACACAGGCGCAGCACCGCCCAGCAGCATCAGCCAAAAGGAATAGCCGGAAAATTTGACGCTACTGCGCTGCCGCTGCCGACGTTAACAGCATCCTCGTCGTTGGCGTCGTTGTCGTCGTTTTCGTAGTAACTCGTGCGGTGTAGTATTTTTTTTATAACGGAATGCCGCTATTAAAATGCATTGCATCCAGTCAAGCGTTATTGCAATATATATATAAATAAATATATACATATATATTATTATGGCAAACGCAGGCAGGAGCGAGAAGGCGATAGTGATAACAAATATTCTTATTAGAATTTTTTGTCACTTTGTATATACACAACTGGGCGCACGCACACATGCACAGAGACACGCGCTGACAGCGACGCAGCAGCAGTACCAACTCACATGAACGTAACACCTTAGCTTAATTTAATTATTGCTCTCCTGGCTCTCGCGTACACATAGCCAGACACTAAGGCACACACACACATGCACACTTTTTTACTTTTTATACGAGTGTCGCGCACTCACTCACACATACACATGCCAAATGCATTAGCATTCATTACAATTCCACGGCGCATACAATTTTCATTGCACTTGCCTTGGCTGTGGGCACTGGCGCTCTCTCTTGCCTTGTTGCGATTGCACTGCTATGCCTACAGATCGCACTTTTTGCTTAACACACGCACTTTGTTAATAAACACATATTGATTGCTTGCATTTGCACACATTGCAATTGTTTTTCGGCTGCTGCTTTCAATTTCAGCATTATTTCATTCGTCCAAAACTCCGACGTCGTCTCAGCGTCGTTCCCAGTGTGACCAACGCCGGCAAATGGCAAAAATGCTAAGCAGCGGTTTTTTGGGCAACACTTTATATACACCACATGCTATCGATACATATGCTACAGTTTTCAAATAAACATTGCGAAAACTATCGATATAATTTTGAAAATTTTACAATTTTTATTTAGCACAATTTAAAATTGGCAACAACTTTTTACTTATTGACTAAGAGAAGAACAGAGAAAAAAAAACACACAGTGACTGCTATAAATGCAAGACTGATTTGAGGGTGACAGTTCCATTTTAGGGCATCATGCGCAAGGCACCGTCCAGGCGGATGACTTCGCCGTTGAGCAACGGATTTTCGTAGATAGCCTGAACCAGCTGGGCGTATTCGCTGGGATCGCCCAGACGCTGCGGAAACGGTATCGACTTGGCCAGGAACGTGCGCACCTTCTCCGGCAGCGCAGCCAGCATTGGGGTGTTGAAGAGACCCGGGGCAATCGTGCAAATGCGAATTCCCTGGGTGCTCAGGTCGCGGGCAATGGGCAAGGTCATGCCCACAACGGCCGCCTTCGAGGCCGAGTAGGCTGCCTGGCCAATCTGCCCATCAAAGGCAGCCACCGAGGCGGTGTTCACAATGACGCCGCGTTGGCCATCCTGGTTGGGTGCATTGGCGCCCATTAGGCCGGCGGACAGGCGAATCACATTGAAGGTGCCCACCGTGTTGATGTTGATCACCCGCTGGAAGTCCTCCAGGCGATGAGCCACGTTCTTATTGAAGTTGTAGGTCTTCACGGCGGTTGCGGTGCCCGCACAGTTGACCGTTAAATCGAGACGCCCGAACTTGTCCTTGGCCGTTTGGAGAGCGGCGCTCACGTCCTGCTCGGAGGTGACATCGACGGGCACAAAAACCACCTTGTCGCCCAGCTCCTTGGCCACCTCAGTGCCCTTGGAGGACGGCAGATCGGCGAGCACAACACTGGCGCCCTGCTTGGCCAGTCGCTCGGCTGTGGCCCTGCCCAGGCCAGAGGCGCCACCAGTCACCAGGGAGACAACGTTCTACAAGTGATATTCATAATTGGCATTAAATTTGGCAGATAATGGAATCTTTTTTAATTATTTTTAATCATTGTGTAACGATAAGGCGTCGCATCAGATCTTTAGGTACAAGGTACACTGTACACGGCACACATACATACAGTTATTCTTAGCAGACAATGATTGTCCCAATTGGACTTTGTACTCAATTGCTAGAGTTCAAATCTAAATCTGGTAAAGGCTGGACGATTTGTTCAGTGCTTCCCTTCCTTTTTTTATTTATTTTTTTCTTTGCTTTTGCACATACTATGTGCGATGCTTACCTTGATCATGTTTAATGAATTTGTGAAAAATTTAAATCAATTGATTAGACAACTGCAGAGTAAACTGGAAGACTGGCTGACGACTGCGGCTCTGTTGGAAAAACACCGGTTGCTGCTTTGACAAGCTACAGGGCTGGACTATAATACAATCTATACATCGCTCAGGAAGCTCATCGATAGTTGAGTGAACAAATACCAAAATCATTCAAATAATTGACGGTTAAAAAACAATCGACTACAGGTAATGACATTATAATTGTTTATTAAAATATTAGAAAACTTGCTCAAATATATATAGTAATACAAAATTAAGGAAGTAAGAGTCAATAAAAAACAAGCGCACCGTAGAAGTATAAATATTTTTGTAGCCTTTAGTATTAAACTATCGATAAATTTTGATAGACTAGGATAGTAAGAAATCAGCTGTTTTCATTGTTTTTATTTTTATTTAGTTTCGCTGTTCTTAAATAAAACGTATGGTTAGTTTGTAACGTGCTTGTAGGCTACCGGGCGAGCTATGGAAGGAGGAAATCCGAAAAATAGAATTCACAAACCAATTGATTGCGACGTTCAAGACAAAATCATCTTAGGTCTACGTCAGCAGCAAAGTAAGTACTCCCTGGATATTCATAAATAATTATAAGTACCATTGTTTGTTTGTCCTACTCCCTGGCAGAAAACTTGAATCAGCCTGCCCAGGATAGGCTGAAACGTCTGCAATCGAGCTTAAAGCAATTGAGAGACCGAAAAGTTGACAAAGAACGAGGCGTGGCCAAGAGAATCACCAGATGTAGCAGTAACAACGTCAGCAGCAATTCCGACAGCCCAAGCGCCACTGCCACACATCACACAATTTGCAAAGTCCAGACCCCACTCAATGTGACAAAACAGCAACTGCCAAATCGTAGATGGAATCCGAGATCACGCACTCTCGTGACGAATGCCTGGGCGAAGCCCAAGGCGCTGCTTGATGCTAGCAATAGACTGGAAAATAACCGCTCCACAAGTGGTAATTTATTGAGATTATGTAGGCGTGCATTTGTTAATAAGTCTTACAATCCCCAGCCAACCAACGTCTTTTAATGCTGCGCGAGACTCTGCAGCAGCAGCAAAGGGAGGCGAACAATAATTACAATAAAAACAACACAGACAGCAGCAAACTGCCAGTGGTAACTGTCACAACTACTGTTAAGGAGATCGCTTTATCAAGTCCCAAGGGCGATGTGGAGCCCATGGACTTAGACCTCACGGAAGAGGAGGAGCGAGAGGAAAAGGACGAGCAGGACAGCAGCTGTACAGTAGTACGTATTGTAATGTTATGTTTTTAGTTAATTACTCAATTATGACGTATCATTATGACGGTTAGGACTGTAAAAGTAGTTTATAGCAAAGTTAACAGTTAATTTAACAGTGGACTGTTTTTCGGGAATCAGGGGGCTCCCATGGGCCATTGAGCTGTGTGCTTTAAACAAACTCACAGAACTGACTTTTGGGTAGCCTAAGCAGTACTTTAACATGCAACATCAATTGTAAGTGCCGTACGGTGTGCCAAGAAGGATATGGTCAACCTTCTTAGGGAATATAATGTGGACGTGCCACTGTGAATTACATTAGTCCAAGTAATCCGACTTTTTGTCAAACTACTGAGATCGACTGCCAGTGCTGTAAGTAGTGATGCCCCTGCTTTTGTAGCTGTCGCCACATGAAAGAGAAGAGTCACAGATTCCAATGGAGATCCCGGTTTGTCGAGACTCACTCAAGCAACTACATAGCTGCCAACCAGTCTATGGTACCTCCTTATTGGGGAGAGAGCGATATTATGTCGAGAAGTAGTTCCCATTGGATGTATGCAATCGTTTTATATAGAGTTTCCTTTCTTTTCCATAAGTTTCGCACGGACGATTACGAAAGGCTAAAGGTTAATTTGGAAGATCTTCGATATAAATCTGGTAAAGGCTTCCGTTATTACGAGAACATAAAGAATCGTTGAATGATGGGAATATGTACTTTGCAGATCTCCTAGTCGAACAGTTTAGACTAGACCACACACCTTTGTATACCATTATAGTAATGAGTATATTTCATAATATCCACCTGAAAAAATTTAAATTTGGAATATATGTACATGCATTCATTACGATCATCTAAGATATTCTCGATGCGATTATTAGAGGCGTGCCAAATCGGAATATCATATCATTTCTCGTATGTCTTAAATTTGGAAGGTGTACTCGTAACTATCCCATGACTAAACAGATATAAGTAAAATTTCATAGTTATTCGTGACCTCTGTCGTACCAACAGGCTGATGTCCAATCAATATTGCATCTTAGGTCCCATGCTGACTGAACTGACTGAACCAGTAAACCATGCCGATTGGCTAAAACAAATTCCGAAAGTCGAGTTTAACCCGACCAATTCTATCCACTTCACAACTGAGTTAGCAATCTCCAAGGCGGTTCGATAGATGACTGTTTGGACTGTTTGGTCGGTGGATATCGACTTGTCTACATTCAATGTCCATGTGATTGCCTAGCCTAAACAAAGTGAAATCTTTTACTGAGTAAAGCATATAACTAATTAGGCCATATCACAGTACATATGTTATTCATAAGAAACATCCGAAAGATCGATATGTAGTACGGGATGTGGAAGGCGCTCAGATCTATTCCCTATCAGTATGGACGCACTATAATATTAAATTGATTGCAAATTGTCTATTGATTAGGATTGTAGTGTAAGACTTCATGATAAGAAAATATCCAAGTGGATTTCACGGACATATTGCACATTGGGCTATGATCGTATTCCTGCCAGTTTTAGATTCAATGCAATTTAATTGATGCATCCTCTTCCACAGCTCAATTTAAGTGTGAATAAAAAGCGGAGCCAAACGGAAAATACATCGGATCTAACGCTACAAAGACTATTGGGTACCGGACAAGAGCTGCCCGCGCGCTGTGTGGACTACCTGTACTTTGTGCTGGATACGAATGTGCTAATGGAAAACCTTGAGTTTGTGGAGGATCTGTGCCGCGTGACACTGGGCGAGACAAAGGGCAGCATGCTGTATATACCATATATAGTGATCAAGGAGCTGGACAAGCTCAAGGAGAGACGCAGCGATAACGATCGCAAGCGCAAACCGGCCATACGAGCGATCCACTATCTGAACAAGAAATTTGACGAGACTCTCAAAATTCAAGGTCTGTAGATATGATTCCATTAATGAGAGTTTCGATCGATGTTGAATTACATGTGTAATTGATGCAGCTCAATCTGCGCTGGAGGAAGCCAACCATTTAATCGAGGTGGACTGCCCGGATGACAGCATTGTGAACTGCTGCCTGCAGCTGCAGTCGCAGGTGCCGCATCTGATGCTGGTGACCAATGACAACAATTTGCGCCTCAAGGCCAACGCCTCAGCTATACAAGTCTCCTGCCGATCCGAATTGCTCCACGACTATCCACATCAGTTCGAAGCATTGTCCCCATCATCCTAGCCCAAGAGCGAGGAGGACACTTGTCGAGGAATGCGTTTGTGATTGACGTGTGGACCGAGCCACTGCACCGCTGACAACACCAAGTACAACTTATACATACATATATGTGTATATATATATATATATCAACCATTCACGTGTCAATAGTCATACATATAGATATTCAAATAGGGCTTAAAATAGACATCACAGATTTATATGTAATAAACCTTGTACAATAATCGACTGTTTGCCTTTCGAGTGTGAGTTGATAAAGCATTTGAGAGTGAGAAAGATGCTTTAACGAATGCTCCTAAGTTCCTTCTGATTCCGCTTTAAATGATTCTATTGCTCTTGGGGGAACAGAGAACAGTTGATCGAAATGTCCAGTAGAGTTGGCCATATCTTATATAAAAGTCATGTATATTATGGCGTTGCCGCTGTGCGTAGAATCAATGGGGTCCAATAGACGCTTGCCCGATCGGTGAGCAGATAAACTCGCAGCCATATATCAAGTGACATCGACTTATCTAAGCGCAAGATAGGAGTAGATAGGGGCTATCTGAGCAGCGTATTTGGCTGTCGGTGTCAGAGTCGGCCGTTATAGATAGATAATTTATGTATTTTCCGTGTTTAATTTTAATTAGGCAAAAACTCCAGGCGTCTTATCAACGGGCAAATAAATGTGGATCCGCCGTGCTCGGCCCCGCCAGCTGCAGCTGCCAAGCTGCCAAGCCGGGCGACTTGCGACGTTTTTAAAGCGCATCGAACGCTTGTGCCGTGCGGGTGGTGTCGAGTGTGGTGTGCCGCTAAAGAGCCTAGAACGGGAAAGGAAAGACGGGAAAATAGAGATCCGGAATAACACTGACGTATGCGGATGCGCACTTTGGGTGACAGCGACAATTGTTTATTGCCTGACACAATTAACTTAAGCTATATAAAAATTGTATGTACGAACTATATATATATAATGTGTATGTATATATATGTGTATGTGTATGAGTGTGTGTGCATGTGTATTGTGTATTGTTTATATATGTGTGTCTGTGTGTGTGTCTGTGTTTGGTTTGCTAATTTACAAACTGGCGAGTTAAGCAGCGACGAAATTTGATTAGATCCTCTCGACATTCACGTTTGTTCTGTTGCCCGGTTTTCCGATATTCCGTTATTTCGATTTTCCGGTTGCCCGCGTTGCCCTCGATCCTCCTTTATACACATTGCAATTGGTAGCTAATGTCACTCCAAATGCTATGACGTTCCCACTGCTGCAGCAGCATTGCCGCCCGATGCAGCGCCATTAACTGACGCCAGCTCCAGGCCAAGCTCCTGTCCTACAACTTGCCATCGCCGACCCCGCTCATCAGCTGCATGCGCTCCAGCTGCTCGGCCAAAGCCCGCTGCTCGCTGGTTAGCCGGAGTATTTCCTGTTTCTCCTCGTTCGTGTGGACCTTGCGCTTGGCCCGGTACTGCTGCATTCGCTTGTAACACTCGAGGATCTCCTGATCGATGCTGTCCAATTTGCGTTTCAGTTCGATGCGCTTGATCTCCTCGCTGGCACCGGCGCGCAGTCGCTGCAGTTCGTCGCTATTGAACTGAGCCACCGTGTTGATCTCGGCGGTGACCCGCTTGATTTCGAGCAGCACCTCATCCACATCCTCGTGGGCGCCCAGCTCATTCGCGTCGATCAGTCCGCTGTCCATCAGCTCCTTTTTCAGCCGCTGCTCAATGCCAACGCCGTGCTTGAGCATGGCCAGGGAGCGGAAATTTCCAGAGGCGGCCGCCGCATTGCTCGTGGATGAGGAGTGGGTGTTCTCGTTGCTGCTGCTGTTGCTGTGCTCCCCCACTGCCGCCTGCTCGCTGGGCAGTGACTCGTCCATCAGCGCCGAAACGAGTCTCTGGGTCAATGGGCCCGTTATGCCCTCCTCCAGCATGCCCTCGGCCTTCTTCAGCATGGCCGTCGCATTCTGTGACTTTTGGCGCGCCCCTCCCGGCTGCAAGGCCTTCATGTCCTCCTGTGCCCACACCGTGGAGTAGTGTGGCCCCAGCGGCGGCACCGGTGGCACCAACGGACCCCGATACTGCTCCAGCAGATCGTCAATCAGTCGCAGATCCTCGTTGGTCAGTGGCATGCAATAAGGCTCAACGGATAGCCAAAACTTATTTGGCATGTCGTTTTTAGGCATCGCCACCTTTGGTAGAATCTGTTGTTGCTGTTGCGCCTGCTGCTGCTGTTGATGGTTGATGGCGGGCATAGTCGGAATGTAGTCCATGCTGTCGTCCGTGTGCGTGGCCAGGGGACTGTTCTTGGCCATGTGCTTGGAGCCCGCCATCTGCTGCTGCTTGAGTATCGTCATGGAGGATTGTTTTTTGCGCACACCCGTCGGCTCGTCCCGCAGTTTTCTCTTCGTGCTGCTGTTGGCCGTCGCTGTCGCTGGGCTGCCGACGCCGCTGCTGCTGCCTCCGCCACTGTTGCTGCCCAATCCCAGCAGGCCGTTGAGCATGCCCAGCGTTGTGGGCGGTGAGCCGGGCGGCGCGCGTTCCAATTTCCGACGATCCTGACGCTTTTCGTCCTTGTCCAGGCTATCGTATTCCGCTTTCAGTACGCGCGTACGCAAGGCCACATTTGAGAGCATCAGCTCCAGCTCCAACTGCACCGCATCTAGATCTTCGGCAGCCAAGTGCTCGTCCGCTGGCCGCTGCAGCGCGGCAGCAATCGTTGGCAGCTGCTTCGGCACATCTCTGCTGCGTATTAAAGGTATTACCGTACCACTCGGCGTCACAAAGATATCCGTATCAGCCACCACATGGGACGCTGACTTGCTGCTGCCAGCGCCCGCACCTCCTCCTCCGCCTCCACCCACACCCCCACTTCCACTGATTCCACAGCCTGCGCCGCTATTGCCGTTGGTGTTATTGTTTGCAAGCAACTTGCCAGCTGAGATGCCAAAGCCAGCAGTGCCGAAGTGGCTCATCTTCAGATTCTTGAGGTTCGCACTCATTTGGAGCGGCTCAGAACTGCGCAGTTTCACGTGTGTTGTGCTTGCGAAATTCGCTACAATTTATTTGCGTATAAAAAAGCTGAGAGGCACTCGCGAGCTAGCGTCGCTTGCGATATCCAAGAACTAACGCAAGAAGTGGCCAAAGAATCGATAACCGCGAATGCAGAGTATCGCTGATATACCGATACCCGCGACTTGCTCAGAAACATGATTTAAATCAACATATATACATATAAATATTCAGATTTATATCCATTTTTTTTTTATAGTCATTTTGCACTTGGCTGTTGAGCATCTGTACCAGTGTTATCATAATTATGAAAAGTGTACTTATCGATAGTCGGCGAGTGACGAGCGCGCATTATTAATTTTCCGATTAGCATAGTGTAGCGATAGCGCCCTGGTACTTTGTTTCGTTTGCTTTTTGTTCTTTGTTGTTCCGTGCGCGCTATTCTGTGATAAAGTGTACTTAACCAATTCTTTAATGTTATTTTAATTAGTAATGATTAGATCTTGTCTTAAATGCACGGCAGCTAATATATGCAAATAACGAGCAACTTCTGCTGCCTCAATTAAGCCCAAATAATAACAATAATATTAACAGCACAGAAGTGAGAGGGGCAGCACCAGCAGCAGCAGTAGCAGCAGCAGTAGCAGCAGCGCTGCAGGCATCAGCAGCCAGCCAACGTTTGTATGTCAACAGTGGCCCCGTGGTGCATTCTACATATGTACAAATATATGTGTGTAATATTTATGTAATTGAAAAACAATGTTGTCAAAGCTAATCTTGTGATGCCCTCTCCGTTAATTGATCGAGCAGTTTTTACTGACTCAATCACGCAAAACGCAGACGCAGTTGCCTTACACCAGCATCAACAGCCTCAGCGTTTTCATCATCAATAACAACAACAACAACAACAACAGCAGCAGCAACGGGACTTATCAGCACTCTGCGACGCAGGCGCTGTCTTTCGGGCAGCGCTAACTGCCGTCCGCTGCTTTCATTTCCAGAATTGCAGCTGTGAGTCAGTCAGAGGCGCGCGCTGTGCATTTCTTTTGACTTTATTGATCAAATATTTGCGTGAATGTAGTTGCATACGTGAGTGTGTATGTGTCTGTTTCTGTGAGTGTGTGTGTATGTGTTTGCTGCTCCCTTATCAGCGCGTCTAATTAGGCTAGCAGACAAAATCCGTGTGCAGAGCAAACGCAAAGTGATAAGGAAAGAAAAAAAAAATATATATATATATATTAAATAAAAAACAAATTGAAAAGAGCAAGCAACAAGTGTTTAACACGTTTACCTTGCTGTTGTTGTAAATATCGTTTCAATTATTGATGCTTGTGCGATATGGCCTAATCCATCAGACTGGACACGCTGAAATCTATATTTGGAATTAAATTTTGATGTTAGCTAAGTGCACGCACGCAATTGACATATCGACAGACAATCAATTAAGACCCACAGGTGTTTACATGCATGTTTAAATGTACCTATATATATTACAGATATACCCATGTACAGATACATATATATACTATATATGTATGTAAGTATATATGTAGATAGTGTGTGTCCGTGTTTGTCCTATTGTAAAGCGGAAATTGTTGATCCACTAGACTTTAGCTTTAAGCCCAACAACTGCTGTTAGGGCTTTTGTTGTTGTTGTTGTTGTTGCTTCGTAGCAAATATTTGCCCAATTAATTGATTAAACATGTTAACGTCTTTGCTTCCACAGCGTAGCGACAAAATTTTTCCAATTTGTTTAGCTTATTATTCGGTCGGCGCTAATGAAAGTAAACAAGCATAAAAAATCTTTATATGCATACATATGTACTTTGTATACATGATAAAACAGTTACCAGGGAGATGACAACAAATTGTTGCTAAGCTCTCAGAATCTTTAATATTATATTTAGTAATATAGTACAAAAAGAGAAAGAAAACCTATAGATCTTTAGAACTTAAAGTTGTTATATCTAAATGGTATTATCTATTATACTGCGTTCAATTTGTTAGTTTATAATAGCGCAATATCAGATGCATCCCAACATGATTAAATAAATACTTTTTTTCTTGTGACCAAATATAATATGTAAATACATTTAATTTTTTATACTTGATTAAATTTAGATTTTTTAATCAGTCTAAGCCTATCAGAGCTACATCTGATTATATACATACTATATAAACTGCTGACACATATAGATTGCAATTGAATATATTAGCTATTTACATATATTATAACATTTCCCCAAATATTAAATGTACTATTGAAATATTTTTATTTTTATTTTTAATACAATACATCTGAGAAATAGGCATCGCTTTGTTTTTTATCGGAACGGTATTGCGCAATGAAACATTACTATGAACAAAGCTGTATATATTCAGATTGATTATTGTACCCAGCCCTAGCTATACTCTATAATATAGTCAAGATTACTGATCCGTGTTTAGTGATCTAAAAACATATAACTATATATTACCATATTCGCATTCCAGATATTTAGCTATACAGCTCTTAAGTACTTAAATAATAGAATTCTAATTGGATAGTTACATACATACAGCTGAATTTATTTATTCCACATAATGTAAATCATTGTTATGTGGTCCTTAAATATGTTTAAAGCCAAAAAATATTTTGAAATACACCATACCTTAATATATATGTAAGTCAAAAACCTAAGGCATCAGCGAATCGTTCTTATTCCCAAGGCATCTTTTAAGATATCAATAAATTTGCGCAATAAATGCGCCATGCATACAATATATTCATATATACATATAGAATATATTTCATTAAGTTGGCTTATTGTATCAATGGGTATTTTATAAATTATCTATATCTATATGTATCGAGTTTAAAAATTCTTTTGCTTATCTGCTCTTTGAAGAATTACTTGTGTCCTTAGCTGTTGGACGATATCTTCTAAAAATGATATACTGTTAAGAGCATACTCATTATTATATTTGTCAACTGTTTTGCTTTACAAAGCAAATTCTTTTTATACTCATTCACGAAAGTGAAATGAGTATATTGGTTTTGTGCAATGTCCGTTTGTTTGTCTCGGCTATCCATATGATTTTGAATTTTGGAACAGATACTCGTATATACCCTCTCATTAGAGGCGTAGCTAATCAGGTAATCTATTTTCCGGTAATTTAGAACATTTACATAATGTCCCCCTTTAGAGAGAGGACTTTACGTACTATATTTTATATTTTATAACTGCATATATGAAAAAGCATTATGCAGTCGGTTATGCTCGGCCGCAACGTTCTTACTTATGTCTTTTACAAATATGTTGTTAGTGCTTAATCGTTCAGTTGCTTAGTCTTTATCTACATGCATATTTGACCAATTACTCTTTATATGTGTAGAAACTGTTCGGCGTCTGCAGTCGGGCGTTAAATTACCAGCGACTGAGTGGAAGCCGTTAAATATGAACTGATTTTACATTTGTTTCGCATTCGCAGTGTTGGCTCGCAGTTGGCTAAGAACAAAGCCAGGGACACGACGATAACACCGCCTCCGCCGTCGTCGTCGTCGCCGCCGCCATGAAGTTCGCTGAGCATCTGTCGGCGCACATAACGCCCGAGTGGCGCAAGCAGTACATCAACTATGAGGTGAGACTTGTCATACAGCCCCCACACTATGAAAAGAGAGATAAAAAAAGGAGGGGGAGAAGAAGAATTCAAGTTTCGTGCGAAGCAGATTAGCAACAAAAATGAATTTCGTTTACTTAAGACTAGATATGTCACAGATGATACTCTATTTATAAGCGCAGAGCCAGACAGAGCTCAAATATGTATTTATTGAGGCAGGTAAACAAGACTTATTATGATGAATCACAATAAATAATCCATCAATCTATTTCGATGACAGAAGGCATGAAATGTGAAATTTGATTGAACTGTTCGAAATTTGTCGATATGTCAATAGAGTACTCCATATATAATCTACCTAGGTGGCTGAAGAAGAAATTATAGCTAATCTGAAATATAAATTTATTAACTGGGTTGATAGATTATAAGGCAAAATATATACACATAATTAATAATGAATTAATCAAATTTTATGAGAACTGGCATGCAAGCGATTTACAATCAATCATAAAAAGAAATCCATCAATCAGTTCGCATGATGAAACGATAAAATTGCACTTTAATTGAACTGTTCCAAAATTGTAGACATACCCAAAGAGTACTCTATTTAGAGAAAACTATGCACATAATCGAAATTAAGTTCTTATAGAAGAGAAGCATAAATAAATATATCATTAAAGAAAGATTGTAGAGTATTTCGGAAACTCATCGATATATAGCCGGTTACAATACAAGGATGGTGGATCATTGGATCATTGCATGAATATATATATATATGTATCCAAGGAAATATAAAGAATATTAAGACTAAAGTATGTAACTTCTTATAAAAGAGAACATGTGAAAGCGTAAGAATATTATAGATATATAATTTAAGAATGTCGTAAAGTCTAATCGATAAATCGTAAATGGTACATAGCTTGCCATACTTAATAAAAACTAAGTTCTCATAGAAGAGAGTAGAATAGGAGCAGAAAAGAAGAGAAATCACAGCTTTAGAGCGATACAGATAGATCACTAAAGATGCCGTCTGTGTTCTGGAGACCCTAAACGCTAGATCGTAGCTTACAATAGACTACTAGATTATAATCTTGAATTCTTTCCCCTTAACATATCATCATGTAGCGACTCTAATAGTAGATTAAAGGAGATAGATATTATCATATATCGTTATGCATTGGGCATTACAATAAAATATTATGTGCTCAACAGGAAATGAAAGCCATGTTGTACTTGGCTGTCGAGGAGGCGCCGTCTGTGGACAGCGTGGAGGATGAGGTGCTCAAACGTCACTTTGCCAACTTCGACGAGAATTTCTTTCACTACTGTGACAAGGAGCTGAAGAAGATAAATACGTTCTATTCGGAAAAGTTGGCAGAGGCAACGCGTAAATTTGCGACACTCAATGCGGAGCTAAAGTCCAGCATCGAGGAGTCGGAGCGCACGGCCAAGAAGTCCAAGGGCCAGAAACGACATGCCGCATTGCCAGATCGCAAAGCACGCGAGCTAAAATTAGCCTTTAGCGAATTCTATTTGAGTCTTATACTGTTGCAGAACTATCAGAATCTGAATCATACGGGCTTTCGCAAGATTCTTAAAAAGCACGACAAGGTAAGAGATGTCTTTATATTTAATGAGCTAGTTTTAAAATACTTCTGCTATTGCAGCTGCTGCGCGTAGACACCGGTGCCAAATGGCGTCAGGAATATGTGGAGGCATCGCATTTCTTTATCAACAAAGACATTGACAACATCATCAATGAAACGGAGACGACGGTCACGGGCGAGCTGGAAGGCGGCGACCGGCAGCGTGCGATGAAACGCTTGCGTGTGCCGCCCCTTGGCGAGCAGCAGAGTCCGTGGACCACCTTTAAAGTTGGCCTCTTCTCGGGCAGCTTCATTGTGCTCGGCATTGTGGTTGTGCTGTCTGCTATATTTCACGACATAACCGGCGAGAATTTGAAGGTCACGTTTCGTCTGTATCGCGGTCCATTGTTGATCATCGAATTTATATTTTTGATTGGCGTTAACATCTATGGCTGGCGTTCGTCGGGTGTTAATCATGTGCTGATCTTCGAGCTGGATCCTCGCAATCATCTATCCGAACAGCATCTGATGGAGCTGGCGGCCATATTCGGCGTCGTCTGGACACTGAGCATGCTCAGCTTTCTGTACAGCGCCAGCCTGAGCATACCAGCGTTTATCAATCCATTAACATTGACCCTGATCATGCTGATTTTCTTGGTCAATCCGTTTCATGTGCTCCATCATGACGCACGCTTCTGGCTGCTCCGCATCACTGGACGCTGTGTTGCAGCTCCGTTCTTTCATGTGGGCTTCGCCGATTTCTGGCTGGGCGACCAGCTGAACTCGCTAGCCACCGCCATCTTAGATTTTGAGTATCTCATATGCTTCTACTTCACCAATGGCAACTGGTCGGAGGCGGTGGATGCGTCCATTTGTATGGAAAAAGATTTTATAGTGCGGCCCATTGTCAACTGCCTGCCTGCCTGGTTCCGATTTGCGCAGTGTCTGCGCCGTTATCGGGACACACGAGAAGCCTTTCCACATCTGGTGAATGCGGGCAAATATTCGACGACCTTCATGGTAGTCATCTTTGCCACGCTCAAAAGCTTTAACAGTCGTAAGCAGACCTCTATATCTGTCTCATTTGCACAGCATTCGATATAGTTCTATCTCTTTCTATGTCATGTCAGCCAACTATGCGAGCACTTTTGATAATCCCTACACTTGGCTGTGGATAGTGGCGTCTATAGCTTCCTCCTGTTACTCGTACACATGGGACATCAAAATGGATTGGGGCCTGTTCGATAAGAATGCGGGCGAGAATACGTTCCTGCGCGAGGAAGTCGTCTACTCGTCCACAGTGCGTACCTAAAATCTGTGCCATAAACGAGATATATTTTGTACTCATCTGGTTTGCGTTTTATCCGATTAGGGCTTCTACTATTTCGCCATCTTGGAGGATCTGGCGCTGCGCTTCATCTGGGCACTGTCCTTCTATTTGACTGAAATGAAGATCGTTAGTAGCGATATAATGACCTCTATAACAGGCATCCTGGAAGTCTTTCGGTAAGCCAAGATGCAAACTTCTTCCACCTTGTCTATTCATTAATTACTGTTATATATATTATCTTAGCCGTTTCGTTTGGAACTTCTTCCGCTTGGAGAACGAGCATCTCAATAACTGCGGTAAATTCCGTGCCGTGCGAGATATTTCCATTGCCCCGCTTGATTCGTCCGATCAGACGCTCATCTTGCGCATGATGGATGAGACGGATGGTGTAATCAATCGCTACACAAAAACGAACAGACCCAAGCCAAAGAAGATCAAGGATCCGGAGAAGCGTAGTCTGTTGCAAGCACGTGGCTCACTGCCGGATCTCAGCATTGATATTGATGGCAGTAAAAAGCTTTAAATGATATGGTCCACCCCCACCCACACACCTCATGCGCTTCCTGAACGAACGGTTTATTTTTTCCTTCTGTGGCATCTTTACCAATTCTTCCCCTTCTTTTTGTTGACTTTAGTTAATGCTTATACGTCTAGTTACTAAGTACTTAAAGAGCAAAACACATAAATAGTTAGAGCTTAAGTTGAACTAAACAAAACTAAAATTGCATTCCATAAACGCATCTAACAATGGACCAAAACCCAGCCCCAAACGAAAAGAAAATGGAAAAGAAACCCTAAAGATTAACCCATTCCCAATCATTCCCATAGAGCGGCAGTATTACTTAGTAAGACCTAATACACTTTATACTAATACTAATAATTGGCAGAATCCCAAATAGAAAAACATTCCTTTTTGAAAAAAAAAAAAAAAAAAAAAAAACGAAAATGAGAGGTAAACCTTAATTAAGATATAGACAATTATTTCTTTTTTTTTTTTCTATTTCTAAATAATAGCGTCAATTTTTTGTACTTAGTAGTTTCGTGGAGTTGTGCTTTATTAACATTAATATTATTATTATTATGAATTTTTAGTTCAAATGCAATTCGAGAAACCATTTTTGATATATGAAATTTTATTGCAGCAGATTTCTAGAATTCCTTTGAGTAGCCTGCTTTTTGGGCGTGGTAATTTCAAATTGTATACATTTTGTAGGGACTCTTTACAAAATCTACAAATAGACTTCAAAACGTGTAACGTTATCGTACCAAGTAGAAAGTTTTAGTGAGCGGCCTTGTCTTAACTTAAGTCTGAACAATTTCGCAATATCCCCCTTTGTGTCCGTTAATTTCTTTATGTTTGCCTCTAAATGTTGTAAATAGCTAAAAGCATGACTATAGTAAACAGAACTGAACTAAGAACTGTTAATAATAATAAATATTTATATATAATATATATTCCCTATATACCACATATAAATATTTATATATATATATATATATATATACACAACTCTAAAGCTCTAGAAATATGAATAACACATATGCATATATACATATAATAATTGTATTAGCCGGGGTATGCCTCAAAGAGAACCCAAAACATAATTGAAACGAACTGTACGAAATAAAGACGCCTAGTTATATGCAGCATATGTGAACACGTTTCAATGTATTCAGGAAATGTTCTCCAGTACGGCGCAGACGAGGGCGGTGCCGCGCATTATCCAAAATTCGGGATCGTTTTTACTGAGCAACAGTATGGAGAGCACAAAGTTGGTGGAGTGGCCCGTGGTGGAGAGTACTCCGGAACGCTGCTGGGTCTTATAGAGAGGCGCCTCGTAACGCACAATGGGATTAACCTCCAGGCATGGGAAGAAGCGAATGATAGGCATGCGGGTGTATAGTTCACCGAAGCGAGCATCCGTCAGGCCACCCATGCTCAGATCCCAGCGAGCGGCCTCCACAAAGATGCCGTGTACATTGATCATGCCATCCGTGCAGTCCTCCAGATTGCCATAGAGACGAGCGTCCTAAAATGAAACAGGTTAGCAATTTACATAGCTGATCACATCTATAGTGAGGCCGTCTCTGCACGTACGCTGACATGTGCATTGTGCAGCTCGAAGAAGTCTTGCTGCACTAGCTCCAGCTCGACTACTTGGAAATCAATCTTCAGCGAATCGATGGGCAGCACACGACGTCTGGCATACGTCTGCAGGACACCGGTGAGAAACGACTGTGGGAAGAAGAAGCCGCTGATCCAATAGGAGCGTGGTGCCCCATTCTCAGCCCAGTGTTGGATGAAGTCGATGCGTCGCTGGAAGTCCACAATGTAGTTGGGCAGCGGCTTGATGGACAGAAAACTGCGCTTGGCCCAGCTCGCGGGCACAATATTGGCTAACAGTGCACGGAATACCAATTCCAGATCCTCGGACATTACAACCAAACCTTTGATTGCCTTCGACAGATTGATCAAGCTATCATGAATGATGCTTAGCGCAATGTTGAAGCGATCGATCTCCTGCACTAAGACAGTCGTCAGCGAAGGCATCTGGCCCTTGCTGTCCAACTGGAATATAGATGTTTTACGGACTTGCGTTTCACGTTAACCCAAGTCTAAGCAACTTACCACAGTGAGAGTGTCGTGTATCGGCTCGCGCTGTATCTTGTTGGTTAGGACTTGCTGTATGCGCGCTATGATAGACTGGCAGAGGTCATTCTCCATGGCCTGACCCTCATCAGCTGCGGAGCGTGGCTGGCCCAGCATAAGTGTGTTGATAAAGAATTCGGTTTCCTTGGTCTGGAACACAATGTTGGCGTTCTGATTCATGCCAAAGATCTCGGGATCCTCTAACACCGGGAAGCCCAACACAAATGTCGCATACTCCTTGAGCGTCTTGCCTTGCGGGTCTCTGTAATAAGTGTCGCCTCGGCAGTACTTATAGTCCGGCTGTATAATGCGCTCCGATGAGAAGATGGTTAAAATTGTGCGCAGTGTACGCAGATCCCAGTAGTCCGTAACGCGACCGCCCCACGTGATGTCGCCATTGATGTAGAGTATGGCTTCCCACGGTATATCGCTCATGACTTCACGATTGATAAAGAAGTCCAGAGTTTTTAATCCACACTCGCGATCGCTCTCACTGAACTCGTACGTTATATTCCAGCCAAGTGGTCCGAACTTGCGACGCTCCAATAGAACCGCGTGGAACATACACAAACCAAAAACGATTGCACGCCATTTGCCATTCTGGATGTGCTGCTCGAAGAACTCAGTCTTTAGATCACCCAAGGCGCCAATGACGTTCGCCTTGATGCCTTTGGGCGGCTCATTGGTAATCTTAACAGAGTTTTGCAGCACACTAATGGGAAAGGATTGGGTGGGCATAGAGGAAAGGAACAAACGGAAGTCTGCGTGTGCCTTTGTAATGCCCAGAGTTAGATTTCGCACTACCGTCTCTAGCACTCGCATCCAGGACGTGGCCAAGTGACAGTTCTGCAGAAATACCCAGTGGCCCATGCGCAAACTCTTATCAATCAAGCTTTCGGCAAGCGGTCCTTGGCCCTGGCCCAATGAAATGGAGTAATATTTATCCGTAAACTTCATTTCTGTGGTGAACTTAAGGAAACCTGACATGGGATCTGAGCCGGTGGACAGCACAAAGATCAATGGAGTCACCGCTGAGGTATCCAGATATCTGAGGAGATGAACAACTCTAATTAACAGAGAACTGTCTCTCGCACTCTCCTAAGAACTCTACTTACACTGTGCTCAGCTGTGTGCCCCCGGCGGAGACTTCTGTAAAGTATTTACCCACCGTCTCATGCAGGTAACTAACGACATTGAGAACGAAACGTGGCTTTCGGAAATTTGCAATAAACATGAGCTTATGGAAGTTCTTTAGTCGCTTATTCCACTTGTCCGTGGGCGGTGCATTGGTTTGGGCGTAATCAAACTCCTCCCTGTTGTCCTGCAGCTGAATGAAAAACGGAGTGCCCAGCTCGTCGGTAAAATTCGAAAAGGCTTCTGGAAAATGCATTTCCAAAAATAGTGCCGCCTCCCATTGAACCTGACTGATTTTCAATTCCGGTGGCTGTGGCTTGGCTTTCACTGTGCCAACAGCGCCGCGCGTGAGGAACCCAAACTCATCTTCAGTGACACGACCCTCTTGCCGTTCCACAGACAACGCCAGCAGGAAGCTAAAGATTAGTTTATGATTCTCGAACAGACCACGCGATATGTTATCGTAAATAGCCTTCAACTCATCCACCATCAATGTAGAGATGCGCAGCTCTACGGCCATAGCGGGATGGTCAATGCGTAGAACATTGCAAAAGACCTGCGTGAAATACTTCAGGCTGTACTGGTACATGGGATCGATTTCAGCCAAGCTGGCGACAACGAAGTAGAGAATAGCGCCACGAGACGATAGAATGCGATAACGCTCACGCGACGCCGTTATAATCTTTTCAGTTTCCTCTGTATCGATAAGACGTGCCGCAATGATCAATGAAGTTTCCTAGAAATGAGAGGGATATAAGATAGATTATTGAGGTGGTCTAAGCCATTTAAAAGGAGAGGCATTTATCCTCGATAATCAAACTCCTGAGGTTTGAGTCTTAATCTATAATTGTTTCTATCTAAGCCCGATCAGGAACTTACCTTGGCATCATTTAGTGTTTCCACCAATTCCTCATCGTCTAAAATATTTCCCTCAGAGTTGAACAGAAGCTTCAGCACTTTATCCTCCAATGCCAGCAGCTGCTGCTTATCCGTATTGATCTTGACCACCAGATCGTTACGTTGCGCCTCCATGGCTGGCAGCTCGATAGCAACAATGTCTCTGTGGGTGGTAAGGGATATTAGAGTGAGGTGGAAAGAAAGCCAGTCTCTGGTTGCTTACGCCAGCAATTGGTCCTCGAGTCCGCTTTCGGTGACTAAGAAGTTAACTAAGGTCACATTGATACACACCTCGGGCAGGTAATGAGGATTGGGCAGCTTTGTGGTCATATACAGTTTGAAATTATCATCGTAGTCAATGACTTGGTCGCCTAGTTTGAGATAGATCCTACCCTCAGACTTGTACGTCTCCCGCTGGAGTATGGGACGCAGCGAGGGATCTATGGTCTCTTCGATTTCCTCCAGCAGCACTGGATTACCCTGCCGTACGCTGTTCTCAAGCACGCGCATCATGGAGGGGTCGGTCATCTTGATGACCTGCAGGTTGTTAGCCTTCTCCATGTTGCGTATCCAGCGATTGGCCTGCTCCTGCGGATCGATCATGAGGGCCCAGCGCAAGGCACGCGTCGCATATATACCATTCTCAATGGATATGTTATCCTTGGGCAGACCATCGACATTCCATTGCCGCATCTCGTAGGCATCGCCCAGGACCTTCAGTAAATTGAATTCCTTGCTGGAGGGAATGGTGTACTCGCGACATTTGTCCACCCACAATTGGCTCATTTCGCGACGATATTGATTGGAGAAGGCGCCCAAGTAGGCAACACAGGCAGCTGCCACCAGCACATCCCCGGGCACACAGCCCAGGTCGCCTGTAAGAGACTTGACAGTGTCTCGCCAGCGAACCTGTTCGTCGGCCAACGCAGAGGTGAGTCGTCCGGCGCGATTAATGCGTCCATAGGTGAGATCCACATTATCCTGTATGGCCTGAAATTCGAGCTGTTTCTCTTCCAGGCTGTCGCGCAGCGATTGTATCTTTGCCTCGACAGCCGCGAGTTCCTTTTGCTTTTGTCGCAGCACCTTCATCACCTCCTTGAGCTCCGCTTCGGCCGCTTCTTTGCGCTTGATCTTCGGCTCCACTACTTTGTAGACTTTGTTGAAGCTGTCCATGGCAATGACCCACATGCTCACCGACTTGGCTACTTTGGATACTTTCTCGAATTTCTGTGTGGATAAAAGTAATCGGAATCAAATGCAGTCCCTTTGTAGGCTAGACCATACTCACAGCGGGCACAAAATCCTTATGCTCGATGTACTTTTTGACTTTCTTGACGACGTCGTCCTTCATGTGCTCCTTGTCGTACTCGAACAGTCGCTTGATGAAGTTAATGTCTGCCATAATGGCCTTGGCGGCTGCCCAGGTGGGTCTAGTGACACCATCAAGCTGGTCAGATTTATTGCTTGTGTATATTTTGCGTTCGACTTACTTTGCGCCCAATAAAATGCAAACAGCTTCCATGCAGAACTGCACTAGGGCTGGCGGTGTGGTGAACGACTTCAGTTCATTGATGTCGGCTTTTGTGAGACCTTTGAGTGCCTCCTCGGAGTCGCGCAGAGCTGGCATGGCTGTCTCCAAGTCCTTGCTGGCGTCTGCGGATATGGCCTGGGCAATGGCTGCCTTCTCCTTCGCGTTGGCCTCATCCTCCATGACGCCTTGCTTGACAGCGTCCGCTTGTTTGGTCTCCTTGGTTAGATTGTCCACCAAGGACTTCATCATGGCCGACTTTTCATCCAGCTGAGGCACCATAACTTCTAGCTCCTTTTGCATTACTGCAATCTGCAAGGCGTAAGCAAGAGAGTTATGGATGCCACATGGATGTATGAATGCTAGCATCTAGATGTGATCTACATACCACTTCATTTGTCTCCAGCAACTTGTTAAGACCGCTGGCAATGCGCTTCCGCTTG